GATTTATATGCTCACAAAATATATTCAAGTCGTACTTTATCCCGATAGCTTTAATATTCAAAAAACACACTGAAATATGTGCTTTTAAGTGATTTTCGGAAATGGCCCTTATATGGAATCTATGACCAATAATTTACCGATCCGGGAAAAAGTGGTAGAATGATTTATATGTACACAAAACATATTCAAGTCGAATTTTAGAATTTTATGAAATATATGCGTTTAAGTGACGGAAGTGGAGCTATGACCAATTATGGGCCTATCCGGAAAAAAAACTTATTTGTGTCGAATTTTATCAAGATAGCTTTATTTGACAATGAAGTAGGCCTTATATGGAAGCTATAAACAATAATGAACCGATCCGCAAAAAATTTGGTAGAATGATTTGTATGTACACAAAACATATCTGTGTCGAATTTTATCACAATAGCTTTATTTATGAATGAAATATGTGCGTTTAGGTGATTTTCGGAAGTGGACCTTATATGGGAGCTATGACCAATTGTGGACCGACTGAGATCTACGTTGATAGTATGATTTCTGTTCATATTATATTTGCATGTACAAAATTTTATGTTGATACCGATATATTTGAGGGAGTTATTAACGATAAACTAATTTCTGGGAATATATACCTTTGTATGGGGGCTATGGGAAATATTGGATCGATTGTAAAGATTATGAACATAATTGATCACTCGAAATATCTTTGGTAGTTTCTGAGAAAACTTCTTAAGAATTAGGAAAAAAAACGTATTTTTTTTTTTTTGAGGTAGTCTGAAATTTTTACTCATAACTTTTTACGCTGTAAACCGATTTTGATGATTTTCAATACCAAACTGCTTAGGATAATAATAAATATTTTGGGTGAATTTGGTTGATTTCCTTTGCGTGTTTTAGGCAGATAGACGGACATAGCTAAACCGACTCAGAATTTGATAAGGACCCAGAATATATGTATATACTTTGTTGGGTCTTAAATTAATATTTCTTGGTGTTACACACAGAACGACAAACTTATATATACCCTCTATCGCCACTGGTGGAGGGTATAAAAATACCACGACTCATTCGGTACTTTTTCTAACTTAAGAACTTTTGCTAGTCTTGTCTATAGTATAGTCTATAGTCTTGTCAATAGTATAGTCTATAGTCTAGACTATAGTGTAGTCTATAGTCTAGTCTATAGTCTAGTCTATAGTGTAGTCTATAGTCTAGTCTATAGTGTAGTCTATAGTCTAGTCTATAGTGTAGTCTATAGTCTAGTCTATAGTCTAGTCTATAGTGTAGTCTATAGTGTAGTCTATAGTGTAGTCTATAGTCTAGTCTATAGTCCAGTCTATAGTCTAGTCTATAGTCTAGTCTATAGTCTAGTCTATAGTCTAGTCTATAGTCTAGTCTATAGTCTAGTCTATAGTCTAGTCTATAGTCTAGTCTATAGTCTAGTCTATAGTCTAGTCTATAGTCTAGTCTATAGTGTAGTCTATAGTCTAGTCTATAGTCTAGTCTATAGTGTAGTCTATAGTCTAGTCTATAGTCTAGTCTATAATCTAGTCTATAGTCAAGTCTATAGTCTAGTCTATAGTGTAGTCTATAGTCTAGTCTATAGTCTAGTCTATAGTCTAGTCTATAGTCTAGTCTATAGTCTAGTCTATAGTCTAGTCTATAGTCTAGTCTATAGTCTAGTCTATAGTCTAGTCTACAGTCTAGTCTATAGTCTAGTCTATAGTCTAGTCTATAGTCTAGTCTATAGTCTAGTCTAGTCTATAGTCTAGTCTATAGTCTAGTCTATAGTCTAGTCTATAGTCTAGTCTATAGTCTAGTCTATAGTCTAGTCTATAGTCTAGTCTATAGTCTAGTCTATAGTCTAGTCTATAGTCTAGTCTATAGTCTAGTCTATAGTCTAGTCTATAGTCTAGTCTATAGTCTAGTCTATAGTCTAGTCTATAGTCTAGTCTATAGTCTAGTCTATAGTCTAGTCTATAGTCTAGTCTATAGTCTAGTCTATAGTCTAGTCTATAGTCTAGTCTATAGTCTAGTCTATAGTCTAGTCTATAGTCTAGTCTATAGTCTAGTCTATAGTCTAGTCTATAGTCTAGTCTATAGTCTAGTCTATAGTCTAGTCTATAGTCTAGTCTATAGTCTAGTCTATAGTCTAGTCTATAGTCTAGTCTATAGTCTAGTCTATAGTCTAGTCTATAGTCTAGTCTATAGTCTAGTCTATAGTCTAGTCTATAGTCTAGTCTATAGTCTAGTCTATAGTCTAGTCTATAGTCTAGTCTATAGTCTAGTCTATAGTCTAGTCTATAGTCTAGTCTATAGTCTAGTCTATAGTCTAGTCTATAGTCTAGTCTATAGTCTAGTCTATAGTCTAGTTTATAGTCTAGTCTATAGTCTAGTCTATAGTCTAGTCTATAGTCTAGTCTATAGTCTAGTCTATAGTCTAGTCTATAGTCTAGTCTATAGTCTAGTCTATTTTCTAGTCTATAGTCTAGTCTATTGTCTAGTCTATAGTATAGTCTATAGTCTAGTCTATAGTCTAGTCTATAGTCTAGTCTATAGTCTAGTCTATAGTCTAGTCTATAGTCTAGTCTATAGTCAAGTCTATAGTCTAGGCTATAGTCTAGTCGAGTCTATAGTCTAGTCTATTATCTAGGCTATAGTCTAGTCTATTGTCTGGTCTAGAGTCTAGTCTATAGTCTAGACTATAGTCTAGTCTATAGTCTAGACTATAGTCTAGTCTATAGTCTAGACTATAGTCTAGTCTATAGCCCAAAGCATTGTCTATAATCAAGTCTATAATATAGTTTATAGTCTAGTACATAGTCTAGTCTATAGTTTTGTCATAGTATTAGTCCAGCCTATATTCCAGTCCAGCCTATAGTCTAGTCTATATTCTAGTCTAGTTTATATTATACTCTAGTCTAAAATCTAGTCTATAGTTTGGTCTGTTTTCCACGCCTTCTATATAATATTTTAAAGTATTGAACAATGCTGAAGCCAAAAGTTAAATCCATGGACTTTTATATAATGTGAAACCTTCCTTCTATTATATCTTCCATCTTCGAGAAATCTTGACCTAAAGCTTGAAATAAACATAAATTTACAAAACTGAATTTTTAACTCCATATCGCATTTATTTTACCCATTTCGTTACCATACTGGCATTTTTAATTCAGTTTTAACGTTCAAAAAATAATTTTCTGAAAGGGACCTTTCATGATGGTAGGGTCAATAATGGACTAATTGTCATAAAATTTCATAGAGACGATTTCGGTTGATATTAAAATTTATTTTAATATTTCAGTACTATAATGACATTTTTAAATCCGTTATGAATAATATAGGCATTCTCCGTTTGCTTGTCTATAGTATAGTCTATAGTCTTGTCAATAGTATAGTCTATAGTCTAGTCTATAGTCTAGTCTATAGTCTAGTCTATAGTCTAGTCTATTGTCTAGTCTATAGTCTAGTCTATAGTCTAGTCTGTAGTCTAGTCTATAGTCTAGTCTATAGTCTAGTCTATAGTCTAGTCTATAGTCTAGTCTATAGTCTAGTCTATAGTCTAGTCTATAGTCTAGTCTATAGTCTAGTCTATAGCCCAAAGCATTGTCTATAATACAGTTTATAGTCTAGTACATAGTCTAGTATATAGTCTAGTCTATAGTTTTGTCATAGTATTAGTCCAGCCTATATTCCAGTCAGAAGTTTAGTCTATAATCTAGTCTATATTCTTGTCTAGTTTATAGTATAGTCTAGTCTAAAATCTAGTCTATAGTTTGGTCTGTTTTCCATGCCTCCTACATATAATATTTTAAAGGATTGAGCAATGCTGAAGCCAAAAGTTCAATCCATGGACTTTTAAATAATGTTAAACCTTCCTTCTATTATATCTTCCATCTTCGAGAAATCTTGACCTAAAGCTTGAAATAACCATAAATTTACAAAACTGAATTTTTAACTCCATATCGCATTTATTTTACCCATTTCGTTACCATACTGGCATTTTTAATTCAGTTTTAACGTTCAAAAAATAATTTTCTGAAAGGGACCTTTCATGATGGTAGGGTCAATTATGGACTAATTGTCATAAAATTTCATAGAGACGATTTCGGTTGATATAAAACTTGATTCTCATATTTCAGTGCTATGACATTTTTAAATCCGTTATAAGGAATATATACATTCTCTGTTTATATTTTGATTTACGCGCTTTTAAACGAAAGTAAAACCCTAAGCATAAAGCATCAGCATCGCAAACTAATCTCCTGATGCAGTGAAGTGATGCATTTTCGAACAGGCCCAAACATAAACAAAATGTTTTGTGATTAATGAAAATCAATAAAATGCAAGTCTCCGTGCAGGTTTTTATAATAAGTCGTACTATTCAACTTATAATCATATTGTAAATTTAGTCCTAGTCCTTAGCGTGTATGTGACTTCTTTGCAAATTGTGATTTACACTGTAATGAATTACTAGAAGTAATTGTTACCTACACGTTTGCCATTACTTCATTGTATTGTTTCTTTATATAGCCTGCTTTTGAAATGTGTCTATAAGATTTCAGCTTATTCTTTAAAATTGAATATTTCCAAAAATTCAGGAGGATGCATTGCAATTTAATAATTTTGTTATAAAAGAATACAATATACAGAATCAAACATTTCCTTTTCCTAACCAACATGTTACACTACTATCTACATAAATAAATAAAAAAATAAATACCTTCAACAATTATTTTCCATTATTAAAGAATTGATTGTCTTGATATTAAAAATTATACATCTTCTTCAGTTCAAAAAATGTTAAAAGGTTTATGTTGTCCATTGTCGTTGTCAGCTTCAAGATAAAAATTCCATATTACTCTTAATCAGATATTTGTCATTGTCTCACACTCACTAAAGTTCTTTTAGATTTTGAAAATAAAACTGCACTGACACTAGGTATAAACATTTCCGAAAAGTCATCCGTATTGAATTGAATTTACACAATTTGTTCATTTTGTTTTAAGTTAAATCTTAAAAAAGAATTTCTTTTATTTCTTCAATCATGTTTTTCTCCACTAACGAAGAAACAGCAAGCAGACCACTCACAAAAATACAATATGCATTTAGTTGGGAGGACTGAGCATACGAAAAAAAACAGACTATAAACTTGTAGTAATAAAGATGACGAAGGAGGTGGTGTTGTTGGAACATCCCATAGAAGAGAGATTGAAAATCTACTTCAAAGGAATGAATCTGGAGCTGTGGGTAGCACCAATACCGGGACGACCGTGCTTAACGGGTTTGTAGGTCAATACAAATTCACCCAAGTAGTGACCAATCATTTCAGGTTTGATTTCAACTTGACCGAAATCTTTGCCGTTGTAGACACCAATGATGGAGCCGGTCATTTCGGGTACAACAATCATGTTTCTCAAATGAGTCTTGACGATTTCGGGTTTCTCATTTGGGGGAGCCTCCTTCTTGGCTTTACGCAATTTCTTGATCAAAGCCATTGGTTTGCGCTTCAAGCCACGGGAGAAACGTCTGCGGGCACGGCTGTGCATCAATTCAACCAATTGGTTGCTAAAAGAAATAACCAAAGGTTAATTTTCCATATTTACACACAAAATTTTAAATAAAAGTAAACTTACTTGGGCATATCCAACAATTGGTCCAAATCGACACCACGGTAGGTGTACTTTTTGAAGGTACGCTTCTTTTTAAGGGTTTCATCAACCTGGAATAAAATAACAAAATACCGATTAATGATTCGCTCTTTCCAACATACAAATCTAAAGAAATTTTTTAAAATTTAATTTACATCTTGTTAAAAACACTATGTACTATTCATTTATTATTAAAATCAAAATTTTTTCACTATGATGTTTAAAATTTTTTAAGATTTTTGTAAAAAAAATTACCTCGGCCATCTTGACGTTTCGGTTTACAGAACGGAAAGAAAAACAACAGGGTTCAGTATTGCCAGAGTAAAAAAATTTTGTTTTTCAATGTTGTCACCACTGTTAACAGTATTGCCAGCTATAAATCTAATATGTCAACAGCACATGACTGTACAAATGGCAACACCTACTTAAACGAATTGCCAGTTTCGTTATTTCTGCTGCGATATGTAACTCTCATCTCTACGTCTACTTTTTCTGATAATTTATCGTTATTTTTATCTTCGCCAATTGCGTACAAGAAAATGACAACAAAACAAAAAATTTAGATTTTAATAATAAAACAAATGGTAGAAAAATACAGCAGCGGTATCTTCGTACGCTTCTTCTCTTTTTGTTGTTGACAAGAAATAATTAAGTTTTTGCTGACGTTTTCGTTTAATGTTTATCGAACCAAAACCAAAATTTATCATAACGTTCATCAATTAAAGTAAATACACTTTTAACACCTTCCTAAAATGCTAAAAAATTGTTTTGCTCGTTAACAAACCAGTGCTAAATTATCAGATCAAGAATCGCACAATTTTAATAAAAAAATATATTTTATTGTGTATTGAAAAAAAAAAACATTCCTTATCACTTGCCACTGCCAATATTTTCTTAAAATATAGTGAGTAATAAAGTACGTGTAAATTTGTGCAAACATTTTTTTCTGGAAGATTTTGCCGGAACAAATTTCAAGGTGTGGGTGTTAATGTTATGGTCAAAAAGTGAAAGTTTTCCCTCTGTAACTGACATTTCAATGTAAAGTTTATTGGGTCATTGGCAGCATTTCGTCGCTTTGCTCTAAAAAAGCAGCCGGTAATCGTCATTCAACCTTGAATTTTTCAAGATGTTGGCCAATTCAGGTTATGTGATGACCTTAGCCAACAGTATTATTGGCGTTGGCATACTTGCAATGCCGTTTTGTTTTCAAAAGGTAAGCAAAATAAATAATAAATTTAAAGCAAGTTATTGTTGTTTGAATTAATTGCATTTTGGAAGTAAAATATGCAAATCGTAATATTCTTTGATAGATAGATAGATAGATAGATAGATAGATAGATAGATAGATAGATAGATAGATAGATAGATAGATAGATAGATAGATAGATAGATAGATAGATAGATAGATAGATAGATAGATAGATAGATAGATAGATAGTAGATAGATAGATAGATAGCTAGATAGATAGATAGATAGATAGATAGATAGATAGATAGATAGATAGATAGATAGATAGATAGATAGATAGATAGATAGATAGATAGATAGATAGATAGATAGATAGATAGATAGATAGATAGATAGATAGATAGATAGATAGATAGATAGATAGATAGATAGATAGATAGATAGATAGATAGATAGATAGATAGATAGATAGATAGATAGAGATAGATAGATAGATAGATAGATAGATAGATAGATAGATAGATAGATAGATAGATAGATAGATAGATAGATAGATAGATAGATAGATAGATAGATAGATAGATAGATAGATAGATAGATAGATAGATAGATAGATAGATAGATAGATAGATAGATAGATAGATAGATAGATATATAGATAGATAGATAGATAGATAGATAGATAGATAGATAGATAGGTAGATAGATAGATAGATAGATAGATAGATAGATAGATAGATAGATAGGTAGATAGATAGATAGATAGATAGATAGATAGATAGATAGATAGATAGATAGATAGATAGAATAGATAGATAGATAGATAGATAGATAGACAGATAAGATAGATAGCCAACAGTATTATTGGCGTTGGCATACTTGCAATGCCGTTTTGTTTTCAAAAGGTAAGCAAAATAAATAATAAATTTAAAGCAAGTTATTGTTGTTTGAATTAATTGCATTTTGGAAGTAAAATATGCAAATCGTAATAGATAGATAGATAGATAGATAGATAGATAGATAGATAGATAGATAGATAGATAGATAGATAGATAGATAGATAGATAGATAGATAGATATAAATTTAATGTACTTTCTAATTCCCCTTATAGTGTGGCATTATTTTAGCAACACTTTTACTCATTTTAAGTAACTGGATAACAAGAGTTTGTTGTCACTATCTCATCAAAACATCACTGTTAACACGAAGAAAAAGTTTCGAGTTTCTGGGTAAGTAATATCTCCCGTAAACTAACCAACCACAATTACTAATATCACATTATAACTCATTACAGGTTTTCATGCCTTCGGCACATCTGGTAAACTATTAGTGGAATTGTGTATTATTGGTTATCTCTTGGGATCATGTATTACATATTTTGTTGTTGTTGGCGACTTGGGACCGCAAATCGTCACCAAAATGTTCTCCCTTGAAAATGAACATCGTCATTTGCGTACATTATTAATGTGTGGTGTTACACTTTTCTGTATAATACCATTGGGTATGCTTAAAAATGTTGACAGTTTATCGACAGTGTGTACAGCATCTATAGGTTTTTATGTTTGTTTGGTGATAAAAATCATATTGGAATCTGAAAAGCATATAATCGATAATGATTGGACGGAGAAAGTGGTATATTGGCAACCGGGTGGTGTATTGCAGTGTTTACCTATATTTAGTATGGCTTTATCGTGTCAAATGTAAGTTGGTTTTTGTAATTTTTTATAAATAAGTTTATTAATGTTTTGTTTTTCGTTTTAGGCAAATCTTTGAGGTATTTACCAGTATTAATAATCAAAGTTTGGAAAAATTAAATGGTATTGTACGCAATGCCACCTGGATTTGTACTCTAGTTTATATAGCTGTTGGTTTCTTTGGATATGTGGCTTTTTGTACACAAACATTTTCGGGTAAGTGGGAAGTTATTTGAGAGAAATGTTTGAAAAATGTTACGTCAATTTTTTACTACTTTGCAGGAAATATTTTAATGAACTTATCACCTTCATTTAGTAGTGATGTTATAAAAATCGGTTTCGTTTTATCTGTGGCTTTTAGTTTTCCTCTGGTTATATTTCCCTGTCGTGCCAGTTTGTATTCTTTGCTATATAGAAAGGTATTTCATATTTGTTTTATATGTTTTTTAAGAAAAATCATAAAAAATATAAATTTCTTATTTACAGGGCCAAACTGATGCTTCTGGTTATATACCAGAAACTAGATTTAAAGCTATTACCATATTTATTGTTACCTTTTCATTGTGCATTGCTTTAATGATACCTTCAGTTGAATTGGTCATTGGTCTGGTGGGCTCTACCATCGGGGTAGCTATTTGCATTATGTTTCCGGCCGCTTGTTTTAGAAAGATTATCAAAAAAGATACCACCGAAAGAAATTTGGCACAGTTTATAGTCATAAGTGGTTTTTGTCTCATGATATTGGGTACATATGCCAATCTTTCTGCTATTGATGAAAAAAGTTCGGGATCTCACTTGGAAATACCAAAAATTGAGGAAGATTTTCTTAAACCCACAGAATTGGCCAAAGAGTCTATAGATGAGAAAATTAAAAATATCGAAAAAGCTTTAGAAGAAAGAGAAAAGAAAGAGGAAAGTGAAAAAATAGTTAACAAGTTGAAAGAAAAGGAACTAAAGGATACTGTTAATCAATCAAATATTATCACACAAGAAAAGCCTTCACCTCCACCTCTGCCAGTAGATGAATCCCATCCTCTTATTGAGACAAAAGAGAAAGTAGAGGAAAAGTTGCCAAATAAAGAGCCAGAGAATAAATTGCCAGTTGTTTTACCTCAAGTTATGACTGAGGAAAAAAAATTATCAAATAATTTAACTGAAATGAAAGATGTCCCAAATAAACCTCTACAACCACAATATGAAAAGCAAATTGTAGAGAAAAAAACTTCAACTGATAGTATATTGGAAGTACAACCCCAAACTATAGACAATGATGCCATTAAAAAGGATGAAGAAGTAGCCAAAGAAGAATATAAACAAGAAAATGAAGAGTTAAAGAAAACTCAAAAAGAATTGGAAAAAAACTAAAGATTTACTTGAGAAAAAAGTAGAAGAACTTAAGGAAGAATTGGTTAAACAAAATCAAGAAACACAAAATTTGGTTGTGGAAAAATTAGGCGAAGTG